CTCCTTCCTCCTCCTCCTCCTCCTCCTCCTCCTCCTCCTCCTCCTCCTCCTCGGGATCCTCCTGCGTCCCATCCTCCTCCTCCTCCTCCTTTTCCTCTTCCCCAATCCTGGTGATCCTCCTTCCTTATCCTCCTTCTCCTCGGGATCCTCCTCCGTCCCATCCTCCTCCATCTCCTCCTCCTCCTCCTCCTCCTCCTCCTCCTCCTCCTCCTCCTCCTCCTCCTCCTCCTCCTCCTCCTCCTCCTCCTCTCTCCTCTTCCTCTTCCCCATCCCAGTGATGATCCTCTGCCTGCTACTCCTCCTCCTCCTCCTGCTCCTCCTCCTCCTTTTCCTCCTCGTCCTCCTCCTCCTCCCCGGGTTGGGTGACGTCGCCGGCGAGCGAGCGCCCACAGACATGGGCGGAATCATCAGCAGCCTCTGCAGTCCCCTTCTCATCCTCCTCCTCCTCCTTTTCCTTCTCCTTCTCCTCGCGATTCTCCTAGTCCTCGGCGTCGTCCTCCCTCTCTTCCTCATCCTTGTCCTCTTGTCGTCCTTGTGCTGCCCTTTGGCCAGGATTGCACGACGACGCCGACGACGACGACGACGACGACGACGAGAACACTCCCCCCTCCCAGCAGAGGCCGACCTGCGCAACAGGGGCCTCTCCCCCACCGTGCACGCCCTGCACCTCGGCGCCCCCGCCCCGCGGCGCGACGCGCTGGCCCCGAAGGCCGCGCCCTGCCCGCGGCCCACGGCGGTTCACGGCGACCCTCGGCGGCCCCCGGCGGCCCCCGGGCCCCGCCGAAGGGGCGAGGCTCGGGTGCCAGATCCACTGCTGCCGCTCCCCAGCCTGCTCGAGACCGCCAGCTGGCGCCGTCGTCAGGTCCAGTTGAATCTCCCCCTCCTTCAGTCACCGAGCGCGCTCCACTACCGTACTCGCGAAGCGCCTACTCGCAAACGTCCGGAAAGCACATGCTCGCCTGGACGTGATAGATCGTAGCTCCCCCGCGGCGGATCCAGGCCATTTGCGAGTAGTTATTTTGCGAGTCGTGGAACGCGCTCGTCTATTCAGGACGGTCCAGGTCCCGGGGCCCGCGGAGGGGCCCAAGGATCAGGAGACGGCGAGGAGCCTCCAGGGCCCTTCTCATCCAGCACCCGCTTTCTCCACGCTGGCCCCCCCGAAGCTGAAGCTGGTGGTGTGCCTCTCCGAAGGCTGGCGCCATTGAGGGGAGAGGGCAGGACACAGCTCTTAGTGTAGATGTGAGCTTAGATGGGCGGTGTGGGCAACACGACGAGGGCGGTCGCACGGCGTGGAGAGGAGCGAGCACACGCAAGCAGCAGGAGCCACGGACAGCGAACGCGGGGGGGGAGCATCCAGGCCCGAGGGCCGCCGACTGTGGCGTGCGTCGCAGCCTGTGCTGCGCCGTACCGATCCAGAGAAAGTCGGTGCGCCTGGGGTCCTGCTACTGCTTGCCGCAGCACCCCCGAGATCCCGGTGCCTCAGTTAGTTTATTCGAGCTGGGCGATTCCGCCCAGTTTCGAGCCCCGGGACCCTCATAGATTGATCCGGTTCGCAAAATTGTACAGAAAGTTGGGGTCTACGGTCGGGCACTTTTGGATGGCGTGTCGCTCCACCAGTTCTGGCCCACCGCACTTCGGCGCGACACGCCATCCACGTCGCGGTCCCCAGGCGTCAACCTCCCGAGCCTTTCCCAGCCTCCCGCGGAGCGGAGCGACACGCCATCCGCTCGCAGGGCACGGCGTGTCGCCAGGTCCGCCGCCGCGAAACGCTGAGCAATAGTCCCTGACCGCAGGGGTCCGGCCGTGATTTTCCAACGTGTTTCAAACGTGCTTCAATGTTTTTCGCGCCGTCGGATCTAAGGGGCCCGCCACGGTCGGGCAGAGCGAACCGGGGGGGGATAAGGAAAGGGGGGGCTATGAAATCTACTGCATGTGCAGCTGGTTTCGGCCCCGCCGCCAGGCTCACTCATCGAGACGTGGGCGCCTGAGGCGCCAGGAGGCGCCAGGGAAATCGGCTAGGTGAGCTGACTCTCTACCCTACTCTTTACTGTCTATCCTACCCTGTCGTCCCCCCGACACGGGGGAGGGCGGCAGAGAGGGAGGGGGCCACAGCAGAGAGCGGGCGGGGAGGAGCGGGGCTTTGCGCAAAGTGCAAGGATGGGCCCCGCTCCAGCCCCCTGCCACGCCGACAGCGGAACGAGGAGGACGAGGACGAGGAGGACGAGGAGGAGGAGGAGGAGGAGGAGGAGGAGGAGGAGGAGGAGGACGACGAGATCGAGCAGTTGGGCAGCCGTGATGGGTCGGTTTTCCACCACCACTACTATGGGTGTGAGAGGGGGAGGAGGAGGAGGAGGAGGAGGAGGAGGAGGAGGGGAGGAGGAGGAGGAGGAGGAGGAGGAGGAGGAGTAGGAGGAGGAGGAGTAGGAGGGGATGATAGGGGAGGAGGAGGAGGAGGAGGAGGAGGAGGAGGGGCGGGAGGAGTCAAGGAGGAGTAGAGGAGGAGGTAGGAGGAGGAGGATGAGAAGGAGAGAGGAGAGAGGAGAGAGGAGAGAGGAGAGAGAGAGAGGAGAGAGAGAGAGAGAGGGGAGAGGGAGAAAGGATGCGGAGGAGGGATGAGGAGGAGGAGAGTAGGAGGAGGAGGAGGAAGGAGAGGAGGAGAGGAGAGGAGGAGGAGAGGAGGGAGGAGGAGGAGAGGAGGAGGAGGAGAGGAGGAGAGGAGGAGAAGGAGGAGGGAGGAGAGAGGAGAGGAGGAGGTGAAGAGGAGGAGGAGGAGGAGGAGGAGAGGAGGAGGAGGAAGGAGGAGGAGGAGGAGGGGAGGAGGAGGAGGAGAGAGGAGGAGGGGGAGGAGGAGAGAGGAGAGGAGGAGGAGAGGAGAGAGAGGAGAGGAGGAGAGAGGAGGAGAGGAGGAGGAGGAGGGAGGAGGAGGGGAGGAGTAGAGGAGGAGGAGGAGGAGAGGAGGAGAGGAGGAGGAGGGGAGGAAGAGAGGGGAGGGAGGAGGAGGAGGAGGAGGAGAGGAGGAGAGAGGAGGAGAGAGGAAGAGGAGAGAGGAGAGAGCAGAGAGGAGAGGGAGAGAGAGGAGAAGAGAGAGAGAGGAAGAGAGAAGGGAGAGAGGAGAGAGGATAAAGGAAAGAGGAAGAGAGAAGAGGTAAGAGGAGAGAGGAGAAGGAGAGAGGAGGAGGAGGAGGAGGAGGAGGAGGAGGAGGAAAAGGAGGAGGAGGAGGAGGAAACGTGGAGGAGGAGGAGCGCCTCCCCGACGGGCATAACAGCCCTGTGCCTTTTTTTGGGCGTTTCCCTTTCTGTGCATGTCGAATGAGGTGGCACCTTTCTGCCGCATAGCTAGCGAGGAAGAGAAGGAGGAGGAGGAGGAAGAATAAGAAGAGGAGAGAGAAGATAGCAGAGAGGAGAGAGGAGAGAGGAGAGGATAGAGGATAATCGATAGACGAGAGACGCGAGGCGACAGGCCGGAGACGAGAAACGAGAGAGGAGAGAGCAGAGCGCATATAGCAGGTTGCAGAGAGGAGAGAGGAGAGAGGAGAGGGGAGAGACGAAAGACGAAAGACGAGAGACTCGAGACGAGTCGAGAGACGAGAGACGATAGACGAGAGAGGAGAGATGAGAGAGGAGAGAGGAGAAAGGAGAGCTGAGAGAGGAGATAGGAGAGAGGAGAGAGGAGAGAGGAGAGAGGAGAGGGGAGAGTCGAGCGACGAGAGCCGAGAGACGAGAGACGAGAGACGAGCGACGAGATACGAGAGGCGAGAGGCGAGAGGCGAGAGACGAGAAACGAGAGAGGAGAGAGCAGAGAACAGAGAGCAGATAGCAGAGAGGAGAGAGGAGAGAGGAGAGAGCAGAGAGCAGATAGCAGAGAGGAGAGTGGATATTGGATAGAGGAGAGGAGAGGAGAGGAGAGGAGAGAGGAGAGGAGAGAGAAGAGAGGAGAGAGAAGAGAGTAGGGGAGAGAGGAGAGAGGAGGAGGAGGAGGAGGAGGAAGAGGAGGAGGAAGAAGCGAGGAGGAGGACTAGAGAGGATGATGATGATGATGATGATGATGATGATGATGATGATGATGATGATGATGATGATGATGATGATGATGATGATGATGATGATGATGATGATGATGATGATGATGATGATAATCATGAGGAGGAGGAGGAGGAGGAGGAGGAGCTGGAGGAGGACCTACCCATCCTCCCCTCACCCCCGTCCTACCAGTGGCAGTGGTGGAAGAGGTGGCCCCTCCTCACCCTGCACATCCTCCCAGTGAGGGAGGGGTGACCGTGCGCGGCTGGCTCTCCGCCCGACGCCTCCCGTTCCTCCTTCCCCCCTGTCCGCGCTCTGTGCGAAGTGCAGACCGGCGCCCGCCGCCCAGCTGCAAGGGCCGCTCCCGTGGGGGGCGCGGGGCGCTCGGGCGGGCCTGGAGGAGTGCAGGAAATGCCTCGGGCGTCGCGATCGCTCTGCCCTTCGATCCTGCTGGCGTCTCAAGTTTTTCGAGCCGGGCGTGTTCGCCCAGTTGCGGGCCCTTGGGCCATCACAGATTTTTCCGGCTGGAAAAATGGCGCAGCAAGATGGGGTCATGGGCTCCATGCAGTCGTTTTTTTCCTTTCTAATTATCGATGTTTCATTCGTGTCGCGCCGTCGGATCTCAGGGCGTCTTCTGTTTCGCTGGTTCTTTGGAGGGATTTCCAGCCTCGGGGTGCCTTCCTGCAACTGTGCCTCGCCGAGGGCGTTCCTGGGCTGCCCGGGTCGTCCCGGACGGCCGCCGGAGACCCGAGCTATGACCCGAAGGCCAGACCTGCAACAGATCTCACAGCGCCTCTCTCGCACCCGCCTGCCTGTCTGTCTTGGCCACGCACCCTTCTTGTGGTCCCCCCTCGTTTGCAGCCACTCCGGCCCGAGAGGGGCCCCTCCGAAGGAGGGGCTTGAGGGCAGGCGGCTTGCCGGGGGTGTGGCCTTTTGCCGCACCGGTGCGCCCCGTGCGCGCCCGAAGGGTGCCGACAGGGATGGCGGGGCGCGGCACTCCCGCTGCGTCTCCGGCCGCCGGGCACGCCAGCCACGACGGGCCGGCACCGCTGCTGGCCGACAAGGCGGCCAAGAGCGTCGTCGAGGACTCGCCAGTAAAGCGGAACTCGGCGTGACCCCCGCATACTAATATTGGGGAACAAAAAGTGGCATAAACATAAGAATTCGGAGGTCCGCGCAGATTTCTCGGATCGGCGCTGGGGCCCCCCGGCGGCGCCTCCGGCGCCGCCCCTGGCGCGCTCCGCGCGCCAGGGAGGGGGGTCCAGCGCCGATCCGAGAAATCCGCGCGGACCTCCATTTTTTATGTTTATGTCACCGTTTGTTCCCCTATAATACTAGGTGTGCGTCGCCCCTCGCAGGGGCGACGCGCGCGCAGGGCGCTTCCTCGCCATGGCGCTCGGGAAACGATCTACCACAAGATGGTGTTATCAGATGTTCGGGTCGGACGCACGCCTGGAGGGCGGTCATATACTACTACTACTACTACTACTACTACTACTACTACTACTACTACTACTACTACTGCTACTACTACTACTACTATTACTTCTACTACTACTACCACTACTACTACTACTACTACTAATACTTCTACTACCTACTACTACGAACGACTACTACTACTACTGACTACTGACTACTATTACTACTACACTACTACTACTACTACTACTACTACTAACTACTACTACGACTACTACTACTACGACTACTACTACTAACTACTACTACTACTACTATATCTACCACTACTATACACTTACTGCTTGCTACTACTACTACTACTACTACTACTACTCCAGTACCACGACGACTACTACTACTACTACTACTCTACTACTGCTACTACTAATAACTACTACTACTACTACTACTACGAACTAGAAACCTACGACTACGACTAAGACTACGACTTACTACTACTACGACTACTTACTACTACTACTAATTACTACTAATTACTACTAATACTACTACTACTACTACTACTACTACTACTACACTACTACTACTACTACTACTACTACTACTACACTACTACTACTACTACTACGACTACGACTACGAGCTACGACTACCGATCTACTACTACGCTACGACTAACGCCTACGAATACGACTACGACTACGACTGCTGCTGCGCGACTGCTACTACTACTACTACTACTACTACTACTACTACTACTACTACTACTACTACTACTACTACTACTACTACTACTACTACTACTACTACTACTACGACGATTTTCGTTTTTTCTGAATCTGGGCGCTTCTCCTCGATTTTGGCTTCATGGGGCCCATCTTCAGGCCCGGGACCATTAAAAGTTGGTCCTGGGCGAGACTGCCCTTGGGGAAGCGGTCGGGGACCTGGGGCCGCGAATTGGACAAATCGTTGGGTGCCAGGGTGGTGGAAGAGATTGTACCGATGCCGCTGTCCCTCTTCGCCACGGCTGGGTTTTCTCTGGAGTCCTGGTCAGGACACACCCTTGGAGAGGTCTGGGGAGAAGTTGTATCATTTGGCATCTCTCCGTTCCCCCCAACTGCAACCAACAAGGGGTATCCTGCATGGGGAGAGGGGCAGGGGCAACGTCAAGAGAGGACAGGCCCAGGGAGTCGCCGATAGGGTCCTGATAGACCACCCCACACTGGTCCGTGCGATCCCGCTATCCGGGGCCTAATGCCGATCGCTATCGGCGATGTATTGCCGATCCGAGCTCGATGTTTCCCACCCTGAGCTGGTCCCCCATATCGTCTTGGCTACGCTCGGACGTTTACATGTCTTCCTCGGCGAGGACTGTTGCGGAGTATCTTGGATCATTCTCCAAAAAGAAACGCACAACATCGAAACATGCACGGGAAATGGGCGTCCGAGCGATGGCAAGTCGTCCCCCCTTCGGGCATCCTGGAGGCTTTTGTTCGGCGGCCTTCTCAGAAGGCTCGGAAGTCCCTTGGTTTTCTGAGAAGTTTTCCAAAGCCTTCCTCGAAAGCGCAGAAAACTTTTTAGCAGACGCGAGGGTTTCTGAGAAGTCCCGCCGCCTTTGAGAAGGCCTTCTCCTTCTCATTTTGGCCGTGTTTTGATCGGGCTCCCAGGAGGGCCCCCCCTGGGGCTGTCAGCAAGGCGAAGGGAGGCTCCGAAGTCCAGGGCGCACGCGCGCCGCGCGCCTCCCGTTCCAGGCAGGGCGGCCACGTCAGGGGGGTCGGGGGCGGCCAAGAGGGGAGTGATGACTAGGGTTACGTCGGGGATGTCCCTCTACAGGAGGAGTATGTGGCGATGCTTCGTGCTCTTTTGATTAATTTTGATTACGTTTTGATATTTGTTGTGCTTTCTTCCGAGCTCCGCCTGTAGGAGGACATGCCCGACCTAACATTTGGCGGGGGGATATCAAGGCTGGGGCCATGATATCTCCCCATATTGCATGGCGCTTCTTCTTATTTCAATACGCCCCCCGCCCCCCCGTAAGCCGCACACGTGCCACTGGCCATGATTTGCGCCCCCCCCCCTCTCTTGGACGCCCCCCTCTCGGCCGCCCCCGAAGGGGAGCAGGGGGGGAAAAAGAGAAAAAGGGAGAAGACGAAGCCGACAGCGTAACGACAACCCCTCCGAAGACGAAAGGGCGCCACAGCAGCAGGCACGCAGGGGTGCAGGAGAGAAAGAGAAGGACCCCTCCCAGGGCCTGATTAGATGGGGTCGGAGGATCTCGCCGCATCGCCGATACATCGGCCATGCGGCTCGATGTGGAGTCCGGTTTGATCCACGCCGACGGTTGCCGATACGACGTTGCCGAGGCATCGCCGATGCATTGACGATGCGTCGCGATCCTCCGACCTCATTTGCGCGAGGCTCTTGGGGCCTGTTGCATCCAGGGCCCCCGCCTCTTCCGCACGGCAGGCGAGGATGTGACTTACAGCACGGTTGAGATTTGGGAAGGTATGGCACCACGACGGCTGCAGTTCACGCCAGGCACTCACATGCGCACATACGCCGATTGAACCTCCGACAGCTCAAAGTACATATGAGTCATGTTTAACAGCTAGTGCGTTGACGCTTCCTGGTGCCGTCATCACCATCATCATCATCATCATCATCATCATCATCATCGTCACCATCATCATAACCATCATCATAATCATCGTCATCATCATCATCAGCATCATCATCATGATCATCACCATCATCATCGTCATCATCATCACCATTGTCATCATCATCAACATCACTATCATCATCACCATCGCAGTTACCATCATCATCATGATCATCATCACCGTTATCATCATCATCACCATCATCACCATCATCTCCGTCATCATCATCATCAGCATCACAATCACCTTCGTCATAATCATCATGTTTACCACCATCTTCATCACCAGCTTCATCTCCAGCCTCAGCCACAGCTTTATATTCATCTTGATCATCATCACCATCATCACCATCATCATCGTCATCAACATCGCCATCGCCGTTGCCATCCTCACCATCACCCTACTCACGGCCACCATCACCATCAGATCGTAAGCATCGTAAGCATCCCCATCCTCATCCTCATCCCCACCAGCATATCGTAGACATCATCGTCATCACCACCATCATCGCCAACACCACCACCCCACGCTTTCGGCAGGACCCCGGCCACCGCGTGCACCTGGCGCACGCCTTCGGGCTGCTCCCCGCGGCGCCCCGCGACGCGGTGGTCTCGCTCTGGGATGGCACCTTCGCCCCAGGGGGGCTGGAGTCAATCGAATCGAGCTTTCAGATGTGCAGTTGAGCATATCATCAACATATCATCATCACCATCGTCAGCATCATCATCAGCAGCATCATCATCATCGGACGGTACCTTCGTCGCCCCGGGGGGGCTGGACGACGAGGACGACAAGGACGAGGAGGATGAGGAGGAGGAGGACGAGTTCGAGGACGAGGAGGACGTGGAGGTTCAGGATGAGGGTGGTCCATTGCTCTTCCTTGTCCTCCTCGTCCGCCTCATCATATTCCCCCTCCTTCTCCTCATCATCGTCGTCGTGGGCATCATCATCATCATCATCATCATCATCATCATCATCATCATCATCATCATCATCATCATCATCATCATCATCATCGTCATCATCATCGTCATCATCATCATCATCATCATCGCCGTCACCTTCATCATCATCATCATCATCATCATCAGCATCAGCATCATCATCATCATTGTCGTCGTCATCCTCATTGTCATCATCAACGAAAGCAGCGACATCCTCATAATCATCACCACCATCATCATCAGCATCATCAGCGTCATCATCATTGCCAGCATCGTCACCATCATCATCAGCATCATCATCGTCCTCATACCTAATTTTCATCACCATCACCATCTTCATCATCGTCATCATCCTCATCAGAAGCATGATCATATTCATCTTCATCGTCATCGTCATCTTCATCGTTACCGCCATCTCCATCTTTGTCTTCATCCGAATCTGCATCTTCATCTGCATCTTCATCTGCATCTGCATCATCACCGACATCATCACCATCACCATGACCATGATCAGAATCCCCCTCCTCCTCCTCAGTCCTCCTCCTCCTTCTCTCCTTCCTCCACGGCGCTTCGCGGCACTCCTTCTCCCCCTCGCTCTGGGGGTGGGGGGAGGGAGGTCGGGCCGTGTCTGCGCGGCTGCGGCCCGCCTTGGAGACCGCGGCAGTCCTCCCTTTTGTATGGTCTTGTTCGCCCTCCCTTCGGGGGCCTGCTGGGGGCCTCCCGTCGCCATGGCGCGATCCGCGTCGAAAAACTGGCCAGGATGCCATCCTGGCCCGTTTTTTGCGACAGTGCCCCCCCCCCCCCAAAAAAAAAACAGCGATCAACAGCTTTTTCGCTCTTTTTCTGGGCTCGCCTCGAACGCACAGTTTTCGCTCTTTCTTCTTGGGCCCGCTTTCGATGAACGGTTTTTCGAAGCGGGCCTCTCGGGGTCCGTCCTGAGGATGGACCCCAGAGGGGTCCAGGAACCAAGTTTGACCCGATGTGGGCTGGGCGGGAGGTTCGCGCCGCGTCCGCGCGACGGTGACCCCTCCGCGGGCAGTCCAGGTCGGAGACTTTCTGGTTTTATCATCATGTCCGGTAGCCCCTGAGATCCTGGCGTTTCAGTTTTTTGCAGCCAGTTCGAGCCCCGGGGGCCCTCACAGATCGGTCCGACTCGAAACGTCACCCAAAGATGGAGTCAAAAGGTGCTGGTCGCCACCCTGGGGGGTGGGGGTTCGGGCCCCCGGGTAGCTGTACAGTCGGACAGAGGTATAAGATCGAGGTCGGTTCGAGGAGGGTATCCTAATGCTCTCCGTGTTTGTTGGATGTTCTGATGCATCCTGGGGAGGGTACCCTTGGCTGTTCTGTGTGCGTTGGCCGGCTGAGGATCTCAGAATCTTGAAAACGTTTTTCTGTCCTAGGTCCCAACCGCTTGGGCGGGGTGGGGCCCGTCGGGGCGGGGGCGCGCTGCGATCGCCACAGTAAACGTACGAGCTCCAGCATGTTGGGGGGTATCCAGGCCTGCC